AGGGGACCAGAGAAGTTTTATTAAACCAACAGTCTTCTTTATATCTTTTTTAGAGTTGACTCAAACAGGTTCCCTAGCAACTAAGCAGAAACCCAAGAGCCAATCAAGAGTGGCGCTGGTCTGCCTCTCATACTTTTTACAGCTGAAGCCGTGTTAGGAGTCAGAAGGCCTCCGATTGGTCAGTCCTTATATATATGTGGCTCATATTCTGATTTCCAAAGACAATATCACACATAAACAGCAGGATCACAGACAAACCACAGATTTAAGCCCAAAAATGGAGAATGTGACGCAAACGTTACTAAGCTAGAGGAGTTAACTTTTACATGGAAGCCAAACTTCACCATGAGCACTTCCCTATAGGGCTGCAGTGAGCTAGTGCGTTAGCATTGTTCATTGGTATACAGTCAATACAGTATACAGTAAATATGGTTACAATGTCCATCTACACGCAGTGCTACCGTCTCTGGTCTCCATGGTTACAGTGTCCTGTCTTTATGGTCACAGTCCCTGGTCTGACTCACTTCTTCTTGTCCTTCCCGCGCAGCAGCTCGATGGTGGCCGCGCCGTACTTCTCGTTCAGGATGTTTGGAATGTGGTTGTTCCACCTGAAGGTCACCTCCGTCACGTCTCCAACGTCCAACTCAGCGTGAAGAACCATCTCATAACTCCATCCAGAGACCAGAGAGCCACTGAGACAGAGGCAAGAGCACTGAGACCAGAGAGAGACCAGAGCGAGACCAGAGAGACACCAGAGAGAGACCAGAGAGAGATCAGAGAGACACCAGAGAGACACCAGAGAGAGATCAGAGAGAGACCAGAGAGAGACCAGAGAGAGACCAGAGAGACACCAGAGAGAGACCAGAGAGACACCAGAGAGAGACCAGAGAGAGACCAGAGAGAGACCAGAGAGACACCAGAGAGAGACCAGAGAGAGACCAGAGAGAGACCAGAGAGAGACCAGAGAGAGACCAGACAGAGACCAGAGAGACACCAGAGAGACACCAGAGAGAGACCAGAGAGACACCAGAGAGAGACCAGAGAGAGACCAGAGAGAGACCAGAGAGACACCAGAGAGAGACCAGAGAGAGACCAGAGAGAGACCAGAGAGAGACCAGAGAGAGACCAGACAGAGACCAGAGAGACCAGAGAGACACCAGAGAGAGACCAGAGAGAGACCAGAGAGAGACCAGAGAGACACCAGAGAGAGACCAGAGAGAGACCAGAGAGAGACCAGAGAGAGACCAGAGAGAGACCAGACAGAGACCAGAGAGACACCAGAGAGACACCAGAGAGCCACTGAGACAGAGACAGAGACAAGAGCACTGAGACCAGAGAGAGACCAGAGCGAGACCAGAGAGACACCAGAGAGACACCAGAGAGAGACCAGAGAGACACCAGAGAGAGACCAGAGAGACACCAGAGAGACACCAGAGAGAGACCAGAGAGAGACCAGAGAGAGACCAGAGAGACACCAGAGAGAGACCAGAGAGAGACCAGAGAGAGAACAGAGAGAGACCAGAGAGAGACCAGAGAGACACCAGAGAGACACCAGAGAGACACCAGAGAGACACCAGAGAGCCACTGAGACAGAGACAAGAGCACTGAGACCAGAGAGAGACCAGAGAGAGACCAGAGAGCCACTGAGACGAGAGAGAGACCAGAGAGAGACCAGAAGAGAGGACCAGCGAGAGACCAGAGAGACACCAGTGAGAGAGACCAGAGAGAGACCAGAGAGAGACCAGAGAGAGACCAGAGAGAGACCAGAGAGACACCAGAGAGAGACCAGAGAGACACCAGAGAGAGACCAGAGAGACACCAGAGAGACACCAGAGAGACCAGAGAGCCACTGAGACGAGAGAGAGACCAGAGAGAGACCAGAGAGAGACCAGAGAGAGACCAGAGAGAGACCAGAGAGAGAGCAGAGAGAGACCAGAGAGACACCAGAGAGAGACCAGAGAGAGACCAGAGAGACACCAGAGATCTTACACGTGCAGCTGGTGCTCCTCAGTCTGGTCTCGGTCTCCGATCAGAGACACGTACATGAATCCAGGGTTCGGCCACACGGGACCGTCCAGTGTGAGGCGCACATGGTACGGGTAACCTGAGGAACACACATCTGCATCCATGGTACCAGAGACTCGGGTTTACATCTAGAGTTCACTTATCTTTCTTTGGTCTCTCTCCGGTCTCTCCCTCTATTCTCTTTCCAATCTCTCTCTCTCTCCCTCTGGTACTGTATCTCTGTCTGGTCTCTCTCGTCTCCCTCTGGTCTCTCTCTGTTCTCTCTGCCTGTGGTATCTCTCTCTCTGGTCTCTCTCTCTCCGGTCTCTCTCTGGTCTCTTTCTTTCTGGTCTCTCTCTCTGGACTCTCTCTAGTCTCTCTCTCTGGTCTCTCTCTGGACTCTCTCTAGTCTCTCTCTCTGGTCTCCTTCTCTAGTCTCTCTCTCTGGTCTCTCTCTCTCCGGTCTCTCTCTGGTCTCTTTCTTTCTGGTCTCTCTCTGGACTCTCTCTAGTCACTCTCTCTGGTCTCTCTCTCTGGTCTCTCTCACTCACGTCCGTAGGGGGTGGAGTCTCCAGTGGTCAGGAAGTACTTTCCTCCATCAGCAGGAAGTTTGAAGGAGTAATGTCCCATCTGTGGACAGGAGTCCTCTGAGCAGGGGAAGCACTTGCCCTGGACAGACACACGGCTGTCTTACACTGAAGAACGGACTCAACAGACTGTTCTATAGACTCTAGTGTTTTCAGTCTACAGGGGAACAGTGCAATGCTCCGCAGTCTCAGTCCCGGGTCTACAGCCTCAGTTCTGGATCAAGTGGAAGTGAAAGAGGAAGTGGGCGGGACATGCAGTAGTAAACAGGAAATGTGCGGGGACAGGTGGTATAAAACTTCATCGGGCGGCACGGTGGCTGAGTGGATAGCACTCTAGCTTTTCAACAAGAAGGTCCGGGGTTTGAGCCCCGATTGGACCAGGGCCTTTCTGAGTGGAGTTTGCATGTTCTCCCCGTGTCTGCGTAGGTTTACTCCGGGTACTCCGGTTTCCCCTACCACTAAAAACATATACAATAGTTCTGGCATGCGCCTCCTGTACTGGTGACCCCGCTTCCATCTCTGTGTGGAGTGAGAGGACAGATGCCCAAAAATAACAATTGTAAACCGCTTTGAGACTCTGATCTGCAGTGAAAAGGCGGTATATCAATAAATAAATAATAAATAATAATAATAAAACAGGGAGTGGGCGGGGACAGGTGGTAGTGAAACAGGAAGTGGGCGGGGACAGGCGGTAGTGAAACATGAAGTGGGCGGGGACAGGTGGTAGTGAAACAGGAAGTGGGCGGGCAGGTGTACGTACATCCTCGTAGCTCTTCTTGTCGGTGCAGGGAAAGCCAATGAAGCCCTGTGGTTTGACGATGCTCTCGGTGTAGTACTCGTGAGCGCGGCCGTGGTTACAGAAGTCAAACTTCACCGAGCCTGAGGAGAGAGAGAGAGCACTATTTACTTTGTCCTTTCATATCTACGCTCAGAGCCGTACCTTTCACACCACAACAATTAACTCTAATACGATTCATAACACTATTTCCTGGCTTTATTTTCTGCCTAGTTTGTTCTATCACTAATTCACCAAAAAAAAATTGTTTTAAGAATCTGTAAAGAGGAAGGGAGCCATGTTTGTAGTCCTCCATATCTGTAGTTCTGAATGGAATCGGAAGCACATTGTGGAACTCTTTGGAGACTGAAACTTTACAGCCTGATCCCAACAAAGCTTTAGTCTATTTTTGAAAGACAAGTTAGATGTATTACCTTCTTAACATATTTTGGCTGCAGAAAAAAACCCACGAGAAATATTTTACCTAAAAACAAAATTAACCTTTTTGAATCACAGCTTTAGTGACAAACACACACACACACACACATACACACCCACACACGCACACTCACCCACACACACACACACACACACACACCCACACTCACACACACACACACACACACGCACACACACACACACTCACCTTCCCACATAGCGTCCAAGTTGGTGGGTTTTCCACTGTTAGATTTACATCCTGGCATTTTCTCTCCTCCGTTTGGATAAAAGTCTGCGTGTCCCATGGGCTCAGACATCCCCAGACCTACACACACACACACACACACACACACACATGCTGGTTTAAAGAAGAGACCAGAGAGAGATCAGGGAGAGAGACCAGAGAGACAAGGGAGAGACAAGAGAGAGACCAGAGAGAGACCAGAGAGAGACCAGAGAGAGACCAGAGAGGGAGAATATACAACATTCAAAGCTGTAGTGAACTAGATTTTCAGGGCAGTGAGGTTGAGAGGGGGAAAGTGCAGTACTGAAGGGGTAGAGTGCAGTACCCAGGCTGGAACTGAAGGGGGCGCCGTCCGTGTGGATTACGTCAACAAATGCTGCATCAGTGACATCCAGATGCAGCTCAGGGTCAGTGCCCTGAAAGTATGGCTCCGTGGGGTCCAGACCTGCAACCAACACCACAACAGTTTCTACACGGTCTCTCTCTGTGGTCTCTCTCTCTGCCCCCCCATGGTCTCTCTCCAGTACCTCTTCTGCTCCCTCTGTGGTCTCTCTCTGGTTCCTCTCTGGTCTCTCAGGTCCCTCTCTGGTCTCTTTCTGGTCTCTCTGGTCTCACTCTGGTCTCACTCTGGTCTCTCAGGTCCCTCTCTGGTCCCTCTGGTCTCTCTCTGGTCTCTCTCTGGTCTCTCTCTGGTCTCTCTCTGGTCTCTCTCTGGTCCCTCTGGTCTCTCTCTTGTCTCTCTCTGGTCCCTCTGGTCTCTCTCTGGTCTCAGTTTTGTTATAAATAAATAAATATTACCCGTGATGCGCAGGATGCCTTTGATGCGGCGGCCCACGTCTCCCGCAGCGTGAGCACCGACACTGTGTCCAATCAGATGGAAGCGATCGGCGCTCTGCAGGAACTTCATCTGAGGACAAAAGACATGGACCAGACCGGACCAGACCAGACCAGACCAGACCAGACCATGTGGGCCAGACTCCTAGACCAGTGTTTTTCAACCAGTGCACCATGGCAACTTAGTGTGCCTTGAGATGTTGGTTGGGGAAAATGACCCAATGTCACTTGGTCCAAATATGTGAAAGAGAAAGAAAGAAGATTAGAAAGACCTTTTTGTTCTTGTTGGATTTTCTAAATAATACACTTTAAATAGTTAATAAAGGCTCCAGAGTTTACAGTTTGTATCACTCTGGTCTCTCTCCGGTCTCTCTCTGGTCTCTCTCTGGTCTCTATTTGGTCTCTCTCTGGTCTCTCTGTTCTTGTTCCTCTCTGGTCTCTCAGGTCTCTCTCTGGTCTCTGTCTGGTCTCTCTGGTCTCTCTCAGGTCCCTCTCTGGTCTTTCTGGTCTCTCTCCGGTCTCTCTCTGGTCCCTCTGGTCTCTCTCTGGTCTCTCTCCGGTCTCTCTCTGGTCCTTCTGGTCTCTCTCTGGTCTCTCTCCGGTCTCTCTCTGGTCCCGCTGGTCTCTCTCTGGTCCCGCTGGTCTCTCTCTGGTCCCGCTGGTCTCTCTCTGGTCCCTCTGGTCCCGCTGGTCTCTCTCTGGTCTCTCTCTGGTCTCTCTCTGGTCTCTCTCTGGTCTCTCTCTGGTCCCTCTGGTCTCTCTCTGGTCTCTCTCTGGTCCCTCTGGTCTCTCTCTGGTCCCTCTGGTCTCTCTCTGGTCTCAGTTTTGTTATAAATAAATAAATATTACCCGTGATGCGCAGGATGCCTTTGATGCGTCTGGTGTGTCATGTCATGGTTCTCAATGAAAAAGATGTGTCATAAAAAGGTTGGGGAACTCTGCCATAGACTGTAAATAATCACGGATGTAGTCGCACCTATCTCCGCTGTATGTGCCACCACTTTGGCTTCTGTGGGGCTTTTCAAAATGTCCGCCGCCAGCCCCTCCCACAGGAAAAATGTGAAAAAACGTCTCACCATCAGGAGCGTGACCATGTGGGCCCGACTCACCATCAGGAACGTGACCATGTGGGCCAGACTCACCATCAGGAACGTGACCATGTGGGCCCGACTCACCATCAGGAGCTTGACCATGTGGGCCCGACTCATCATCAGGAACGTGACCATGTGGGCCCGACTCATCATCAGGAGCTTGACCATGTGGGCCCGACTCATCATCAGGAACGTGACCATGTGGGCCCGACTCACCATCAGGAGCTTGACCATGTGGGCCCGACTCATCATCAGGAACGTGACCATGTGGGCCCGACTCACCATCAGGAACGTGACCATGTGGGCCAGACTCACCATCAGGTACGTGACCATGTGGGCCAGACTCACCATCAGGAATGTGACCATGTGGGCCAGACTCACCATCAGGAACGTGACCATGTGGGCCCGACTCACCATCAGGAACGTGACCATGTGGGCCCGACTCACCATCAGGAACGTGACCATGTGGGCCCGACTCATCATCAGGAACGTGACCATGTGGGCCCGACTCACCATCAGGAGCTTGACCATGTGGGCCCGACTCATCATCAGGAACGTGACCATGTGGGCCCGACTCACCATCAGGAACGTGACCATGTGGGCCAGACTCACCATCAGGTACGTGACCATGTGGGCCAAACTCACCATCAGGAATGTGACCATGTGGGCCCGACTCACCATCAGGAACGTGACCATGTGGGCCCGACTCACCATCAGGAACGTGACCATGTGGGCCCGACTCACCATCAGAAACGTGACCATGTGGGCCCGACTCACCATCAGGAACGTGACCATGTGGGCCCGACTCACCATCAGGAGCGTGACCATGTGGGCCCGACTCACCATCAGGAGCTTGACCATGTGGGCCCTACTCACCATCAGGAGCTTGACCATGTGGGCCCGACTCATCATCAGGAACGTGACCATGTGGGCCCGACTCACCATCAGGAGCGTGACCATGTGGGCCCGACTCATCATCAGGAACGTGACCATGTGGGCCCGACTCACCATCAGGAACGTGACCATGTGGGCCCAACTCACCATCAGGAACGTGACCATGTGGGCCCGACTCACCATCAGGAACGTGACCATGTGGGCCCGACTCACCATCAGGAACGTGACCATGTGGGCCCGACACACCATCAGGAACGTGACCATGTGGGCCCGACTCACCATCAGGAGCGTGACCATGTGGGCCAGACTCCCCATCAGGAACGTGACCATGTGGGCCCGACTCACCATCAGGAACGTGACCATGTGGGCCCGACTCACCATCAGGAGCGTGACAATGTGGGCCCGACTCACCATCAGGAACGTGACCATGTGGGCCCGACTCATCATCAGGAGCTTGACCATGTGGGCCCGACTCATCATCAGGAACGTGACCATGTGGGCCCGACTCACCATCAGGAGCGTGACCATGTGGGCCCGACTCACCATCAGGAGCGTGACCATGTGGGCCCGACTCACCATCAGGAACGTGACCATGTGGGCCCGACTCACCATCAGGAGCGTGACCATGTGGGCCCGACTCATCATCAGGAACGTGACCATGTGGGCCCGACTCACCATCAGGAACGTGACCATGTGGGCCCGACTCACCATCAGGAGCGTGACCATGTGGGCCCGACTCACCATCAGGAGCTTGACCATGTGGGCCAGACTCACCATCAGGAGCGTGACCATGTGGGCCCGACTCATCATCAGGAACGTGACCATGTGGGCCCGACTCACCATCAGGAGCGTGACTATGTGGGCCCGACTCACCATCAGGAGCGTGACCATGTGGGCCCGACTCACCATCAGGAACGTGACCATGTGGGCCCGACTCACCATCAGGAACGTGACCATGTGGGCCCGACTCACCATCAGGAACGTGACCATGTGGGCGGCCTGAGCTCCAACGATGCGCACATTGTTTGCCGCCTGAGCGTAGGTCGTCTGTGCTCCTCTTCTCCAGTCCACAACGATACAGTTCACATTCTCCCACTTCAGCATCGTCTGCAACAGCCAGAGAGCTACTGAGAGAGCTACCACCACAGCACCAGAGAGAGCTACTGAGAGAGCTACCACCTCAGCATTAGAGAGAGCTACTGAGAGAGCTACCACCTCAGCATTAGAGAGAGCTACTGAGAGAGCTACCACCTCAGGACTAGAAAGAGCCACTAAGAGAGCTACCACCTCAGGACTAGAAAGAGCCACTAAGAGAGCTACCACCACAGCACCGGAGAGAGCTACCACCTCAGCATCAGAGAGAGCTACCGAGAGAGCTACCACCTCAGAACTAGAAAGAGCCACTAAGAGAGCTACCACCACAGTACCTGAGAGAGCTACCACCTCAGCATCAGAGAGAGCTACTGAGAGAGATACCATCTCAGAACTAGAAAGAGCTACTAAGAGAGCTACCACCACAGTACCAGAGAGAGCTACTGAGAGAGCTACCACCTCAGCATCAGAGAGAGCTACTGAGAGAGCTACCACCTCAGAACTTGAGAGAGCCACTAAAAGAGCTACCACCACAGCACCAGAGAGAGCTACTGAGAGCTACCATCTCAGAACCAGAAAGAGCTACTGAGTAGAGTTACCACTACAGCATAGGGACGTCTGATTCCCAACAACCACAAGCAGAACTCCACCCTTTTCACCTGGCAGGTCTCCTCACCCCTCGGCTCCCCCTCCTCACCCAGCAGGTCTCCTCACCCCTCCCCCTCCTCACCCAGTGGGTCTACCTCCCCCTCCTCACCCGGCAGGTCTCCTGGGCCCAGTCCTCCTCCCCCTTCTGGATGTGTCCCGGGACAATGAGGCGAGTCATCTTCTTCCCGTTGTAGTTGGAGGCAGAGATTGAGCTGTCGGCTTTGATCTCCTGCAGAGAGAAGGGACTGAGACCCAGACCCAGAGCAGAGCAGATCTACGTCCAGACCAGACCAGACCAGAGCAGGTCCAGGTCCAGATAGTGACATTCTTACCTGGTAATACTTGTTCCTCTGTGTGAAGAGGAGGAACCTGGTCTGGATCTCCTCTGGGGTCCAGGGCAAGACTGAGGCCGGTCTCTCAGTCGTCCCACCCCACGGAGGGAGGTCTGAGAAGCATCCGAGGTCTCCCACACACACCTCCCCCCCTGGAACCACACAACCACTGCTGATTGGTCAAACTGTCGTGGTCCAAAAGTCAGTGTTTTTCAACCACTGTGCCGCGGCACACTAGTGTTTGCATCTGCAAATAACGTGTTAAGCAGAGTGAAGGAGAGAAACCCAGCTGTGATTGTTACGCACTGTTTTTGTTTTACTCAGTGAGGCTCTCGTAGCTGCAGACCGTGTTCCTGCGTCGGATGATTTTGTGCACATGATAAACTTTATAAAGTCACGACCCATGAAAAGCCACATATTTGCGCCTTTGTGTGAGGCAATGGGAGCGGAGTGAGTAGCAATATAATAATACAAAATAATACTTTTTATTGTGATGATGCATATTTCTCAGTTTGATGAAAAATATGTTGTATTGTTAAAATAGGCTCCAGAGTATATATTTTCAAATGTTCTCCTAGTGGTGTGCCGCAAGATTTTTCAATGAAAAAAGTCTGCCTTGGCTCAAAAAAAGGTTGAAAAACACTGCCCTATGTCACTGAACTACAAGGTTATTTCCATGTGCTCAAAAACACAGTCTAAAGACTGTTCCTCACACATGCAACACCTGCTGCATGAATGACCTGCCTGAAATACACCCAGGTGTGACAGTATCCAGATGTACAGTAGAGGCTAATGTTAACTGCTATCCATAAACAGTGTGCTGCAATGATGGAAAACGAGAGTTACGACTGTAACTACGGTTCTATGAATCCTGGATGACCGCCAGAGGCGGTGCTTAAGCACTGGATGATCATCCTCGCCCATGCACAGGTCGAGAGTCAAATAACAACAAAGTCACCCGTGACCTCCGGTAGCTCACGCGAGAGTCTATAAAGCCACGTGACACCGGAAGCACAGTCCCTAGAACCTCTCTCGCAAGGATTCCGAGGGACCGGGCGCTCTGGCGGTCATCCAGGATTCATAGAACCGTAGTTACAGTCGTAACTCTTGCTCTATTTCATCCTTCCTGACCGCCAGAGGCGGTGCTTAAGCACTGGATGACGAATATCAGCAAGGTCACGAGGAAACCAACCAGAACCTAACCTTACTGTGAAACAGATGAGCGGTGCCGCAGAACCCCCTGCAGGGGGTGCGGGGCGGCAACATTAACCCGATAAAACCTGGCAAAGGTGCTTGGGGACGACCACGACGCCGCCGCACAGATGACGTCAAACAGATGACGACAAACAGGGCGTCTGAACGCCTTATTGAGGCCGTGGAGTGAATGTACACCTCCAGTGCGCCAACAGGGCACAGAGGGTCAGGGGGCTCACCAGAACCAAATCGGGCCAATTGAAGGGGCCCGTCATATCGACCAGAAGACACCTTCGGGACAAAGGACACATCCGGCCACAGAGACACAACTGAGCCGTCAGGATGCCAACGACAACAGGCCCCGGTCACCGACAGAGCATGGAGTTCACTCACCCGCCGTCCGGAGGCCATAGCCAGGAGAAACGCTGTCTTCATAGACAGGCACTTGAGGGCAATCTCTCCCAACGGTTCAAATGGCGGGGAACGCAGGGCATCAAGGACAACCGAGAGGTCCCAAGCCGGCACCACAGGACGACAGGGCGGGTGCAACCGACGGGCGCCTTTCAAAAACAGTAAAACGTCAGTAACACGACCAACACTAGTCCCACCAAACCCAGCGTGCCCGCACGAAATCGCAGCAACGTATACCTTCAGGGTGGATGGAGAACGGCCTTTACTGAGCAGTTCCTGAAGGAAGGTCAGTATTGACGTCACTGAGCAGAGACGCGGGTCGAGTCCTCTGCCACGACACCACCCGTCGAACACGTTCCATTTACAGGAATACAGCCGGCGTGTGGACAGAGTCCGGGCATTGCACATGGTGCGTCCAATCTCTCCAGTATAGGCCGTAAAAGCTAAACTGGTCCCCGGAGGTGCCACACCCAAAGCCGCAGGCGGCCGGGGTCCGGGTGGAGAAGCCGGCCCCCCAGTTGAGACAGGAGATCCCGCCTGGAGGGAAGGGAACCATGTCCTCCCCGGCCAATACGGGGCCACCAGTATCATCCTGTGGCCCTCTTGAAGGACCCGGAGCAGCGTCTGATGGATCAGAGGGAACGGCGGGAACGCATACAGCAGAACCCTGGGCCAGTCGTGAGCCAGCGCGTCCTGACCCAGGGGACTGGTGGATTCCATCAGGGAGAACCACAGCAGGCAATGAGTCGTTCCCTGAGAGGCAAAGAGATCCACCCTCGCCCGGCCGAACAACCCCCAAATGGAGACCACTACCTCCGGGTGTAGCCGCCACTCGCCCGGCAGCGAAACGTGGTGCGACAGGAAATCCGCCGACACATTCAGAATCCCTGGGATGTGCATCGCAGTCAAACCCGCAAGACGGGGATAGGCCCAAGTCAACAGCCCTCGTGCCACTGTCAGCAAGCACTCCGACCGAGTTCCCCCCTGGTGGTTGATGTAATAGACCACACTGGTGTTGTCCGACCGCACCAACACATGCCGCCCCCGCAGGACCGGAAGGAAATGGCGCAGCGCAAGCTGAACGGCCAGGAGCTCCAGGACGTTGATATGGAGCCCCCTCTGCCGCACCGGCCAAATGCCCTGAACCACACGCCCCTGCCACGTTGCGCCCCACCCTGTCAGGGACGCATCCGTATGCTCCACCTCCCGGCGGGACGGCAGGGGACCCAGCGCGACGCCCGTCAACACGAACGCCTCGTCGCGCCACCGGGACAGTGACTCCATACACTGAGGAGACACCAGCAACCGCCGACGCCTGTGAACAGGATTGGCCGGGTCCAGCCCCAGGCCATTGAGCCACATCTGCAGCGGGCGCAAGGACAAAAGACCCAGGGGAACCACAGATGAGGCTGCAATCAGCATGCCCAGGAGCCTGAGGAACGCCAGATAAGGGAGCGACCGTCCTCGACGGAAGCCCGGGAGCAATGCCCGAATGTCCCCGACACGTCGAGGCAAGGGGCAGGCGGACATAGACAAGAGATCCAGAGCCATGTCCAGGAACAAAGCCTGCTGAGACGGCACCACATTGCTCTTCGCCAGGTTCACTCGTAGACCTAACCTGGTCACGTGCTCTATCACAGCCTGCGTATCCCGCAGAGACTGCTCGCGAGTGGGGGCACAGATCAGCCAATCGTCCAGATAGGGCAGGATCCTCAACCCCCTGGCCTGCAACGGGGAAAGAGCCGCCACCACGCATCTCGTAAAGACCCGAGGAGAGAGCGAGAGGCCGAAAGGAAGCACCCTGAACTGGAAGTGCCTCCCCTGAAAGGCGAAACGAAAGAACCGGCAATGCTGAAGAGCAATCGGGACGTGAAAGTAAGCGTCCTTCAGGTCTATCGACGTGAACCAGTCCCCAGGGGACACCGCCTGGAGGACCTGCCGGACACGCAACATCTTGAAAGGGAGGACCTTTAAGAAAACATTCAGCCGTCTCAGGTCTAAGACCGGTCGCAAGTCGCCGGTCTTCTTTGGTACAAGAAAATAACGGGAATAAAAGCCCCCTGGATCCAGCAGGGGGTTGACAGGCACGATGGCATCCTTGTCCACTAGAGTGCGTATCTCCTGGACAAGTGCCCGCGCCCTGACCGGGTCCTGAATGACAGTCACAAGGACCCGGCCGGGAACAGGAGGCCGGCGGCGGAACTGGAGACGATACCCCACGGACAAAGTGGCCACAACCCATGCATCGGGGGATTGGGCCCTCCAGTAACCGAGTTGTTCTGGGGTAAACCGTCCCACCGCCGGCCCCGGCGCCTCACCGGGGGGCACCCCGGCCTTTAGCGGGCCTGGGGGGGCGACGACTGGGCTGCAGTGGAGCCTGAGACGGGGGAAATTTCCCGCGCCGAGCCCCATGAGCCGACGGCCCATGACCCGATGGCCCATCCACCGCCCGGGGCACAGAAAAACTCCGGAGCGGGGCCACCCGCCCGCGCACAGGGGCAGCAGAAGCGGACGCATGACAGGGATGTCTGTGCAGTCCCACCAACTGCTGCCGGGTCTGAGTGGCCTGGACCGTGCGCTCCAGAGCCGCAATGGCAGCCGAGCCAAACAGCTCTCCAGGAAGCACAGGAACGCTCCTTAACACTCTGCGGCTGGCCTCGGAGAGAGGGGACTGCGCCAACCACACCTGGCGGCGAGTCTGAACCAGCGTAGAAAGGAGACGCCCCAGTTCCCTGGACATGAAGGCGAAAGCCTGCAAGGAAGCATCCACCATCCCCTGCGTGGACTGGTCCAACGAGACAGACTCCAGAGAAGCGGACAGCCCCAACAGCAGATGAGACAGGGAGTTCCCAATGCGGCCCATGCGGGCACCCATGTCATACGCCTTGCAGAGCAGGTCATCGGTGGCCCGACACTGCGGCTGAGGGCACCGGCCGGGCATTAGTGCGCAGAGCCTCTTCAGGGTGCACAATCAAGGAGGCAATGGCAGGCTCCACCGCAGGCATATGCCCCAGGCCAACCTTGTCAGGCGCCTGCATAGAAGCCAGGGCCTGGCCGTCCGAATTGGGTCTAGAAAAAACCCTTGTATCGGTCCAACAGGCATGTAGCTCCTTGACATATTCCGCGGAAGGAGGAACAGAAAACCCTGAGGACGCAGACTGGTGGCGAAAGAAGGCACTCGAGGGCCCCGCATCGCACCGAGGCACATCGGAGCCGTTCGGATCGCCGCAGTCACAGGCTCATCGGAAACCGACTGAGACCCGACAGAATCCACCGAACCAGACTCCGAGACCGGCTGAAAATGTGTGTCAGATGCAGCCACTGAGAGAGCATCATCATCATTGCACACCGATAAAGGGACCGAGACCGGTCGGGCCACAGACTGGCTAGTACCAGCCTGAAGGTCATGGAGGAGGGTCCGCAACTGAGCCAACTCCACAGAGAGTGAATCGACCTTCGAAGTCAGAACCCCACACCCAGAGGACTTCGACTTCTTCCGCGGAGGGTCATCACCCCGGGCACCCTCACGCTTGCGACCAGGGGGTCGGTCAACCAACAGGGCAGACTCACAGTCCCCAGAATTGCCACTAAAATGTCCGTCCAGGGCCGACAGGCGGGCCACGCGCAGAGGCCAGGGCATCACCACACAATTGGGACATGCACGCTCGGTTAGCGCCTCCCGCAGATGGTCCACACCCAGACAGGAGGAACACAGCACATGGCCATCGTCCTGCTGCATCGGGGCCAGACAGGACTGGCAGGCCAATGGCTCAAGCATCCCAACGAGCGAACGCGCAGGAGCAGTCGCTGCCACGTACAGGGGCACTCCCGGTAGGGTCAGGTCGAGCAGAGACGCCACTAGTGACCCACCGAACGCCTCACAGGTGCAGGGAACAACCAATATAGCAGGGTCAGGTTGAGCAGAGACGCCACTAGTGACCCACCGAACGCCGTACACGTGCCGGGAACAACCAATACAGCAGGGTCAGGTCGAGCAGAGACGCCACTAGTGACCCACCGAACGCCGTACACGTGCCGGGAACAACCAATACAGCAGGGTCAGGTCGAGCAGAGACGCCACTAGTGACCCACCGAACGCCCTACACGTGCAGGGAACAACCAATATAGCAGGGTTAGGTCGAGCAGAGACGCCACCGATAACCCGCAGAAAACACGTGGAACACGCGCAGGCAACAGCCAATTCAACAGGGTCAGGTCGAGTAGATACGCCACCAGTGACCCACAGAAGCGCACGTGGAACGCGCGCAGGTAATTAACCAAAACACAGGGTTAGGTCGAGCAGAACGCCACTGGTAACCCACCAAACACACTCTGAATACGCGCAGGTAAACAGCCAGACATCAGGGTCGGGTCGAGCAGAAACGCCACTAGTAACCCCCCAATTATCAGAATTAACAAAAAACAACCGAGCACAAAGTCACGGCGAATAAGCAAAACAAACACTCACCAGAGGCAAGCAGCGCGGCTTGCGCAGCCCACGGAGGGCGAGAAACTCGCAGCACCAACCGACGAGCAGTCACGGGGCTACAGGCAGCAAGCGGCGCAAACAACAGGCACAAACAGCTAGCAGTTAGCTTCAGCCAGACTCATACAACCTGCATGCGAGAAAGTGAAAAGGGACTGTGCTTCCGGTGTCACGTGGCTTTATAGACTCTCGCGTGAGCTACCGGAGGTCACGGGTGACTTTGTTGTTATTTGACTCTCGACCTGTGCATGCGCGAGGATGATCATCCAGTGCTTAAGCACCGCCTCTGGCGGTCAGGAAGGATGAAATAGAACCACCTAACTCAGAACCAGGACCAAACCAGGATCAAACACGGCTCATGTCACGCACTACCCACAATTACGCAGTTCGCCATCTTGCAAGTCAAGCCACCGCTAGTTGTAGGTAAACAAAGCGCAGCATATCACTTTTTTGCGCTAAAACATGCCGACTGCCTGCATCGTTTGGGGTGCAGTAACCGTGCAGATTGTGGGGACATTCCGAAGGCTATTACGAGCCAGGGGAGCCACTCTCGACGGAGAAAAGAACCCTTTAGTTGGGAGGATCAACCGAGAGGGATTCAACCCTAACCCCCGAAAAACGGCACTACACGGTCTGTTCTGACCATTTCATAACAGGTAAGAGCTAAATCTGTGCATGTGTGGTTTATGTTCAGAGCTGCCTTTTGACTGTGATACTAAGTCTATAAAGGCGCCTCGAGGCTCACATCTAAATGAATGAGAGGGGGAGGAGGGGGAGGACGGGGAGGTAGACAGAAGTGATTGACGAAAGAAATATTGCATCATATACATCATGACCATTTTTTAATTGTAAAACTGTTAAGTGAAAGTGAATCATTTCGGGCCAAGTCCACTGGTCTCGCTGCGTTTCATATGGATCCACATCTCCCGATTCTCAAAGGGTCTTGCCTCACAGATTCCAGTGTATCAATAACTTATTGCGGTCAGTGTCGGCCGACTTCATGGCTCTAGATGACATAGGGACAAATTATCTGTGACAAATGATACGTGCAATATAAGCTTGACTCGCAACATGGCGTTCGCGCAAAGCATCATGGGTAATAAGCACGTGATGGAAAACCAGGACCACAGATTTAGGCCAAAATGGAGAGTGTGACCTTAGACTGCAAATGTTAATGGATGTAGTCACGTCCATCTTTACCGTTGAAACTAATGCTAATAATTTTAGCTTCTGTGGGGGCTTTTCAAAATGGCCGCGGCAGCCCCTCCCACAGGAAAATGATAGAAAATGCATTTGCGCATGCGTTCTGAAGTCCACAGAGGATAAATTACATACAAAAGCATTTAATTATTCTCCTTCTGGGTCCACACCCGCCGGTCCGGGGTCGGTATTGCAAACATGTCAGCACACGTGCTTATGGACGTTTTTGAGCCGGGACCTGCCCCCACAGAGTGTGACATAAACGGTTAGCAGGTTAGCAATGAGCCAGCCGTTTATCTTTGAGCTAGTGGGTTAGCAATGGGCTAGCAGAGTAGTTTTGTGCTAGGGGTTTAGCTTCGAGCTAACAGATTAGCATGGTTGTGTAGGCTGTGAACTGACCGTAGGAGGAGGTGAAGAGCGCACACAGCAGCAGCAGACTCCTCATCTGTCACAGAACACACAGTTTCAAAGTAATCTGTTACAATACTTAGTTACTTATGTGACACTAGTAGACAAAGTGTTTGTAACAGTTTCAAAACACACAGACTTTCAGCAGCTAAAACTCAGACCAGAAATGTCTAAATATCTGTTCGGACAGAGAGTTTTCTTTGTGTATTTCATGTGACATCACTCGTTCCAGAGAGCGATAGTTTCACAGTGTGCTGGAGAGCAGACATCTCTCCTGGTAACGAGGAACTGTGGTAAAAGTCAGAAGTCAGATTCTGGTCTGAGAGTGGAAGTCATTTCTCTGTAATCCCTGGAACAAGCAACATGATCAACATCTAGTCTCTTTCTGGTCTCTCTGCCCTGCATGAGATGTTTTGTGTGAGGCTCTTACCGTTTGGACTAGACTCAGACTGGACCAGTGCCTGCTCCTGTCCTGACACTGGTTTAAAAGCAGCGTCCTGGGACAGACACAGCTGTGGCCCAAGGACTCAGAGATAAGCTTTATTAAAGTCGCATGTGTGGGACATACATAACACATACACGTGTGCAAGAGATACAGGTGTACCAGAGCCCAGAGAGAGACCAGCGAGAGACCAGAGCGAGACCAGAGCGAGACCAGAGAGAGACCAGAGAGAGACCAGAGAGAGACCAGAGAGAGACCAGCGAGAGACCAGAGCGAGACCAGAGCGAGACCAGAGAGAGACCAGAGAGAGACCAGAGAGAGCCCAGAGCGAGACCAGAGCGAGACCAGAGAGAGACCAGAGAGAGACCAGAGAGAGACCAGAGAGAGACCAGAGAGAGACCAGAGAGAGACCAGAGAGAGACCAGAGCGAGACCAGAGAGAGACCAGAGAGAGCCCAGAGCGAGACCAGAGAGAGACCGGAGAGAGACCAGAGCGAGACCAGAGAGAGACCAGAGAGAGACCAGAGAGAGCCCAGAGAGAGCCCAGAGCGAGACCAGAGCGAGACCAGAGCGAGACCAGAGAGAGACCAGAGAGAGCCCAGAGCGAGACCAGAGAGAGACCGGAGAGAGACCAGAGCGAGACCAGAGAGAGACCAGAGAGAGACCAGAGAGAGACCAGAGAGAGACCAGAGAGAGACCAGAGAGAGACCAGAGAGAGCCCAGAGCGAGACCAGAGCGAGACCAGAGCGAGACCAGAGAGAGACCAGAGAGAGCCCAGAGCGAGACCAGAGAGAGACCAGAGAGAGACCAGAGAGAGACCAGAGAGAGCCCAGAGCGAGACCAGAGCGAGACCAGAGCGAGACCAGAGAGAGACCAGAGAGAGCCCAGAGCGAGACCAGAGAGAGACCGGAGAGAGACCAGAGCGAGACCAGAGAGAGACCAGAGAGAGACCAGAGAGAGCCCAGAGAGAGACCAGAGAGAGACCAGAGAGAGACCAGAGAGAGCCCAGAGCGAGACCAGAGAGAGACCGGAGAGAGACCAGAGCGAGACCAGAGAGAGACCAGAGAGAGACCAGAGAGAGCCCAGAGCGAGACCAGAGAGAGACCAGAGAGAGACCAGAGAGAGACCAGAGCGAGACCAGAGAGAGACCAGAGAGAGCCCAGAGCGAGACCAGAGAGAGCCCAGAGAGAGACCAGAGAGAGACCAGAGAGAGCCCAGAGAGAGACCAGAGAGAGACCAGAGAGAGACCAGAGAGAGCCCAGAGAGAGACCAGAGAGAGACCAGAGAGAGACCAGAGAGAGACCAGAGCGAGCCCAGAGCGAGACCAGAGAGAGACCAGAGAGAGACCAGAGAGAGACCAGAGAGAGACCAGAGAGAGACCAGAGAGAGACCAGAGAGAGACCAGAGAGAGCCCAGAGAGAGACCAGAGAGAGACCAGAGAGAGACCAGAGAGAGACCAGAGAGAGCCCAGAGAGAGACCAGAGAGAGCCCAGAGAGAGACCAGAGAGAGACCAGAGAGAGCCCAGAGAGAGACCAGAGAGAGACCAGAGAGAGACCAGAGAGAGACCAGAGCGAGACCAGAGAGAGACCAGAGAGAGCCCAGAGAGAGCCCAGAGAGAGACCAGATAGAGACCAGATAGAGACCAGAGAGAGACCAGAGAGAGACCAGAGAGAGACCATAGAGAGACCAGAGAAAGACCAGAGAGAGACCAGAGCGAGACCAGAGAGAGACCAGAGAGAGACCAGAGAGGGACCAGAGCGAGATCAGAGAGAAACCAGATAGAGACCAGAAAGAGACCAGAAAGAGACCAGAGAGAGACCAGAGAGAGACCATAGAGAGACCAGAGAAAGACCAGAGAGAGACCAGAGAGAGACCAGAGAGAGACCAGAGCGAGACCAGATAGAGACCAGATAGAGACCAGAGAGAGACCAGAGAGAGACCAGAGAGAGACCAGAGCGAGACCAGAAAGAGACCAGAGAGAGACCAGAGAGAGACCAGAGCGAGGCCAGAGAGAGACCAGAGAGAGACCAGAGACCAAAGAGATCTTGTATCATAGAGAGACAAAAACTTTTAGCTTTACAGAAATTAGACAAAAATCCAGGTTTTGATAAAAAAAAACGTTTTTAATATTTTCTGTTTGAGACAAAAGCAAAACTACAGCAGGAAACGTCCGAGTCCCTAGTCCTCCTCTTCTCCTTCAGTGTCCTTAAAGCTCCTCTCTCTAGCGCCCTCTTGGGGAATAGTGAGATATTCAGACTCAGACAAACATGAAGTTTCTCGTGTTTAAAGCGTTTCAAATATTTCACTTACAAAATAATATGTACAACTCCACTGGCCGAGACGAGAGGCGGCCAGCCAGAGGACCAAGGGCAGACCGGGTCCAGACCTGGTCCTGCTCCAGACCACTTCATCACATCGCTTCAAGTCTGAACCCGGCCTAAACCAGGTCTGAACCATTTATAAAACAGGACTGGTCCAGGTCTGACCCAGGTCTTGCTGACCGTTTCTCACATAGAAAAGCAGTTTTATATATTTACAAAGTTCTTTCCTAAAATCAGCACTTTCTGTCTCTTTATGAACCGAGCAAACTGCAGAAATAAATAAGTCTTTTTTATGAGACAAGAATCCACGAGGTCGCTGTGAGACTAATGGAAGAAGAGTGGTCCTTCTACAGGAGTCCAGAGAGACCATCAGTCACAGATCTGCAGTTGTTTTGAGATCTATCCATGCTCCTGTCTCAGTCCTGTCCGGAGAGAGAGACCAGAGAGAGACCGGAGAGTGAGACCAGAAAGTGAAACCAGAGAGAGACAAGAGGGAGACCGGAGAGAGAGACCGGCGAGAGAGACCGGAGAGAGAGACCGGCGAGAGGGACCAGAGAGAGAGACCAGAGAGAGACCGGTGAGAGAGACTAGCGAGAGAGACGGGTGAGAGAGACCAAAGAGAGCATAGTGAAACCAGAGAGAGAGACAAGAGGGAGAATGGAGAAAGAGATCGGCGAGAGAGACCAGAAAGAGACAACAGAGAGACCAGAGAGAGACCAGAGAGACCAGAAAGAGACAACAGAGAGACCAGAGAGAGACCAGAGAGACCAGAAAGAGACCAGAGAGAGACCAGAGAGAGACTAGAGAGAGACCAAAGAGAGAGACCAGAAAGAGACCAGAGAGAGACCAGGGAGAGACCAAAGAGAGCATAATTAAACCTGAGAGAGACCAGAGAGAGAGGCCAGAAAGAGACCAAAGAGAGACGATGACTGTGCAGGAAGATTAGAGTGCTTGTGTGACAGCGGTGACTGTGTTTTGAGCATGGATGGAGCTAAACACCAGGTCAGATTGTAGGGACGATTGCAGAACTTAGAGCCGACGTTGTTTCTTGTCTCGCAAAAACATCAAATCACATGGAGAGAAAGTGATTCAATAATGGATAAATAAAACCAGTAGAAGTCTTTAGAGTCTTCCATTGTTGTCTGCACTTCTGTCTCTGTCCACAGGGGAGCGCCGCTGTGCCGTGGATTCAATCTTTGGCCAGATACTTCATCACTTCAACAGACACGGCCTGGCAATCACTGGAGAGATCGTGCTGCAGCCTCCCTCCTAAAGCTGAGGTCTGTATCTTTCAGACCACAACAGTAGAACTCTGTATTAAACCCATGTCTCTGGTTCCTGGCTCTAAAACAGTTGCTTCTGTCATCTTTGGATCAGCTTTTTAAGACAGAAAAGTAAAAAGAGTCAAATAGTGACTCACAAGGCTCTAAGATAAGATGATTTTGAATGAGATGAAGACAGCATGGTGTGTCTGACTTGTTTGGACAAACATGTGTTTTATGACTAAATTTAAAGACCCCAGCTCTAAACATGTGTTACTTATGAGACTAAAGTTACAGCTTTAATGTTAATCTAATGAATGTGGAGGTGATGAAAGCTCTAACCCACGATCTCTCCGGTCTGCACCGCATCAAGCTTAAGTCTGGATCTAGATCCAGGTTTATCTAGGTTTAGGTCCAAGCCCATGTCCAGATCCAGGTATAGGTCCAGGTTCAGGCCCCTGTTCAGATCCAGGCCGAGGCGCAGGTCAACTCCTTCCCTCAGACTGGCCGGTCCACTGCGTACTGGCAGGGACTGAGGTTGGCACTGGCAGGTTGCGGGTAGGCGCTGAAGTTGTGCTGTTTGGCCTTGAGCCTCAGCGCCGCAAGGCTGGAGCTGCATGACTCCCGGTACATATACGGGTTCTGTGCGGCGCCGGGGCTGGCGTACGGGCAAGGTTGTGCGCTCAGGCCATTCACCGAGGGGCCCCCCACGCCCCCCATCCCTGCGCTCAGGGGCCCCGCGTTCAGAGGCCCCGTACTGTGAAACATGGGCTGGGACTGCAGGGGTGTGGAGAGCGAGGAGCTGAGGGGGGCAGAGCTGAGAGGGGTGGTGAGGGGAGTGGTCAACGGGGACATCCCGTTGAAGAATGGGAAGGTCTTGGGGCCCAGGGGGGAGCCCAGGCCCTTGGCGGCCCAGTTGTTGTAGGAGTAGGAGGGAGCATACATGTCGTCGTACTGCACCAGTCCGTTGAACTGAGAGCCAAAGCTGCTCTTGCACAACTCTGCCTGCTGGTGGCGCTCACGCTTCCTCCACTTTGCACGACGATTCTTGAACCAGACCTGGAGACAGAGACAGAGAGGAGGGGTCAGAGAAAGTCTTTTGATATGTTCCAGTCTGGCTTTAGCCCCCACCATAAACTGAGACCGTTTGTTGCATTAAAGTGTAGATTTATAGATAACCAAAGGATTAATCCCCACTGAATCCTCCTTTATGAAAGCTGTAGGTTCTCTGTCAGCTGAGGTCCAGCTGGTTTAGTTTACATTGAGTTCTATGTCTATGACATTTTTCTGGGAAACTTCAAAAAGGGCGCCCACTGTGCTTATGGGTGAGACAGCTGAGACAGGGGTGGGAGCTGAGAGCTGCCACCCAATGCTCAGAGCACCTGTCCCTCTGATCCTCTGCAGGTGGTGAGTTCACAGGAAGATACATCAGTGGTGCCACAGCCATAGTGTTTCTGCAGGAGCTTCAGGCGATGTGGGGTTAAATGTCTTGCCCAAGGACACAACAACAGTAGACGTTAGTGGGAGCCGTTAGAGTAGGTCCCATGGTGGGCTCAAACCCACGACCTTCAGGCCCAAAGGCCAAAGCTAATTATAATAGATCCATGGTTCATAGTTGTTATGAGCTGACAAAGACCAGAGAGAACTTACAGAGGGACAAAACAGCATGATTTTCTAAACTATAAAGTTTCAGTTCTCCCACTCGTCTCTAATTAACAAAAGCTTCAACAAACGAAAGAGTTTCATTCCTGCAGTTGCTCAGATCTCGTCTTGTAAAGTTTAATTTAGTGTTGAGTGACGTGTGCAGGATGAACGTCCCGTCGCCGTCCACGATCTGCTCCGTCTCAGAATCTAATTACTGTGATGGAGTCTGAGTGTGTGCTCAGCAGATAAAGGCTGCGTGGGACACACTGAGCTCTAAAGTAAGAGCTCATATTAACAAAGTTATTAGTGCGACTGTTTGAACATACGACAAAACCAATGAATATTTCACCTGAGGATTAGTGCTTAATACACTGCTTCAATATGAGCCTCACTCTTTATTAAAATCAGAAAGTGTTCAGCACTGGTTTAAGGCGGGGGAGGCAAGGTGTGTCGAGAACCTAGAGACCAGAGAGACCAGAGAGACCAGAGAGACCAGAGAGACCAGAGAGACCAGAGAGACCAGAGAGACCAGAGAGACCAGAGAGACCAGAGAGGGACAAGAAAGAGACCAGAGCGACTGGAGAGGACAAGAGAGAGACCAGTGAGAGAGACTAGAGAAATCCAGAGAGATCATAAAGAGACCAGAAAGGGACCAGAGAGAAACCAGAGAGACTGGAGAGAATGAAAAATGATCTGAACTCTGAACAGTTGTAAACCGCTTTGGGTGACCTTGGTCTATAAAATGCACTATATAAATAAACATTACCTACTTACTAGAGAGGGACAAGAGAGAGCCCAGACACTAGAGAGAGCAAGAGAGAGACATGTTTTAAGTCCCTCTTTAGTCTCGGCTCAGTCCTACTTTAGTCCTGGTCCTGGTCCTGGTTCTTACCCGGACCCTGGCCTCGGTCAGGTTGGTCCACACGGCGATCTCCTCCCTGGTGGACATGTCTGGGTATCTGTTCCTCTGGAAGGTGGACTCCAGCTCCTGCAGCTGCTGCGACGTGAAGTGAGTCCTCTGTCTGCGCTGCTTCTTCTTCAACGACGAGTCCTCAGCCGAGTCCTCCAGACCCCCGAGACCAGACTTATCTGTGTCTGTAGACAAAAGACCAGGGACTGGTTACACCAGAGACAGAAGACCAGAGAGACCAATGACCGGAGACTGGTAAGACCAGGTACCAAAGATCAGAGAGACCAGAGAGACACTGAGACCCCCAAGACCAGTCTGTGTCTGTAGACCAGAGAGACCAGAAAGACCAGAGACCCCCAAGACCAGACGTATCTGTGTCCGTAAACCAGAGACCGGGTAAGACCAGAGACCAGAGACTTGAAGAGACCAGAGAAAGACGAAAGAGCAGGGACTGGGTCAGACCAGAGACTAGAGAAAGAGATCAGAGAGAGGACAATTGGACCAGAGACCGGGTTAGACCAGAGAGAGCGAGGCAAGACCAGACATTTCTCTATAGGGCTGAAGCCTAAAGACATGTGGGGATTTGCTTGTTCTCCCCCTCCCCAAAGACAGGTATAGAGACACCTGCTGGAGAATATGGGAACTACAATACATGTAGTATTGTTTATATAGTAGTAGCCGCAGTAGTAGTAGCAGTAACAGTAGTAGCCATGGTAACAGTAGTAGTAGTAGTTGCCATGGTAACAGTAGTAGTAGTAGTAGCCATGGTAACAGTAGTAGCCATGGTAACAGTAGTAGCAGTAGTAGCCATGGTAACAGTAGTAGTAGTAGTAGCCATGGTAACAGTAGTAGTAGTAGTAGCCATGGTAACAGTAGTAGTAGTAGTAGCCATGGTAACAGTAGTAGTAGTAGTAGCCATGGTAACAGTAGTAGTAGTACTCACCGCTGTGCTCTTTGGCTTCGCTCAGGGCAGTTGGACTCCGGGCCTCAGAGTCCAGGAGGCTGAACTCCATCACGCCCCCTACATGACACACGGAACTGCACTTTAGATACTGCAGATACACCCACACACTATGCACAAACACATATAGACATACACACAGAAACTATACACACAGACACACACAACCGTGTGTGTCTGTGTGTGTCCTTCAGGATGTTCAGCTGCATCAATAATGAAACAGTCATCTGGAAAAACACACAGGCCTGAAGAAGTATGCACACACACACACATATGCTAACATACTACACACACACACACACACATATGCTAACATACTACACACACACACACACACATATGCTAACATACTACACACACACACACACACACACATATGCTAACATACTACACACACACACACACACACACACATGCTAACATACTACACACACACACACACACACACACACACATGCTAACATACTACACACACACACATATGCTAACATACTACACACACACACACACACATGCTAACATACTACACACACACACACACACACACACACACATGCTAACATACTACACACACACATATGCTAACATACTACACACACAGACACACACATTCATTTCATGAATGTGTGTGTCTGTGCCATCACTCGAGTCGCCAAGATGTCTGACAATGTCTTTAATATTATTCTGTAAGAGCGCCCCCTGGGTACAGGAGGGGGATGTTTATGTGAACAGCAGAGAAGAGCTGTGTGTGTCCTCTGTGTGTGTGTCCTCTGTGTGTGTGTCCTCTGTGTGTGTGTCCTCTGTGTGTGTGTCCTCTGTGTG